TGAAGGACGGAAAAGCATCGAAATTGCGCCCAAAAACTGCCTAATGCAACTTCTGAAACCCATAGAAAACGATGATTTTAGGTTGCGACGCCAAAAATCGAATTCTCCCAGCAGCAAATCCCCATGGCAGTGAAGGACGGAAAAGCATCAAAATTGCGCCCAAAAACTGCCTAATGTAACTTCTGAAACCCATAGAAAAAGATGATTTTAGCTACTTTTTCCTCCTGTTTTCTCTTGCTGCTGCTGCTGCTCCTGCTATTCTTCTGAAACCCATAGAAAAAAATGATTGTAGCTACCTTTTCCTCCTGTTTCCTGCTGCTGCTGCTGCTTCTGCTCCTGCTACTCCGGTGGCAGGCTGCGACGCCCAAAATCGAACCACTCCCAGCAGCAAATCCCCATGGCAGTGAAGGACGGAAAAGCATCAAAACTGCGCCCAAAAACTGCCTAATGTAACTTCTGAAACCCATAGAAAAAGATGATTTTAGCTACTTTTTCCTCCTGTTTCCTCCTGCTGCTGCTGCTCCTGCTCCTGCTACTCTTCTAAAACTTGTAGAAAAAAATGATTGTAGCTACCTTTTCCTCCTGTTTCCTGCTGCTGCTGCTGCTGCTGCTGCTCCTGCTCCTGCTACTCCGGTGGCTGGCTGCGACGCCTAAAATCGAACCACTCCCAGCAGCAAATCCCCATGGCAGTGAAGGACGGAAAAGCATCGAAATTGTGCCCAAAAACTGCCTAATGCAACTTCTGAAACCCATAGAAAACGATGATTTTAGGCTGCGACGCCAAAAATCGAATTCTCCCAGCAGCAAATCCCCATGGCAGTGAAGGACGGAAAAGCATCAAAATTGCATCCCCAAAATGCCTAACGTAACTTCTGAAACCCATAGAAAAAAAGATGATTTTGGCTGCCTTTTCCTCTTGCTGCTGCTATGAATTTTGGCTTTTGCTGCTGCTGCTGTTGGTCCCCGTCTGAAACCCATAGAAACCCATGATTTGAGCCACTTTTTCCTCCTTCTGCTCCTGCTGCTTCTGTTCAAACGGAATAGAGTAGAAGCAGCTGCTGCTGCTGTTGGTCCCCGTCTGAAACCCATAGAAAACGATGATGAGCCAAATCGCACCAAACAACTCCTTAACGTGCCGTCTGAAATCCTAGAGAACTAGTTCTTCAACTTACAGTTTCTGAGCCGCGAAAACACTGGACTCGCCACCTGAAACAACATGGCAGTGAAGGGCAGCGCTGGCAACTCGCAGCTCGCTGCTGGCGGCTGCTGCTGCTGCTGCTGCTGCTGCAGTTGCTGCTGCTGCTGCTGGCTTCAAAAAACCTCTCTGCCCTGACGCGCTCCCCCTTGCCGTCGGCCGGGGTCGGCGGATTTGAATCACATGGTGAAAATGGCCATGTAATGTGCGTGTTGTTGTTTTCACATGACTTTTCCATTGAGGATCCTCAAATGGAATGATATGCCAATGACAGCATTATATATACATTGCATTTGAAACATCCGCTGGATTGGTAAATTGTGGGTTTTGAGCGGGACCAACGTGTTTGTCGTCGGTTCAAACAGACTACAGATGGGTTTGGCGCTTACTTCGGTTACTTGTAGGCTGTGTTAAGTTTGGGGATGGGATTGGAGCCAGTGGGGACCACTAGGTGCGGGGATACAATGAATCAGCATGGTGACAGTAAGGTGGGTGTCAACCTCAAGCCAAAAAGATGCTGATGATGGTTCTAAGAACTAAGGATGGCTATTTGGTAAGAATCTGCATGCGAACCATTTTTTGGTAACATGCATCAATGTACTATAAGACGACCACTGAAAATGAGCATCCAATATATAATATGTTTTCCCCCGAAAGGTTATCCAAACTGAATTTAGCAAACGGGCCACTTTTGGAGTTCCAACCTTCAAGTGTTTTACATATGTTGTCCAAAAACATTGGATACCTATTCCATCCCGTGCTTTAAAGTCTAAAACATAAGGTTCCGCATTCAGAAAGCCATGTCGCAGCATCTCGGCTATCCCAAAATTTGGGAAACACCTACATGGAGGTTTCCTAAAATGCTGGTACCCAAAACCATGGGTTTCAATACTAAAATGCTCTAGTCTAATTTTGGATGATTTGGGGATACCCCATTTTAGGAAACCTCCACTTGCCTGCATTGCGCCAGTTGATGGTTTCAGGGTCGCTACCCCAAGATTCGCAACTCTCAGGCAGCGCTCTGGATGAACGGCAGACCATGCGTGGTGCAGACAGAACGAAAAGTGCAATGGCACTGCGGCAAAGCATAGGATGAAATGTTCATCATCATCATCATCATCATCATCACCATCATCATCATCATCACCATCATCATCATCATCACCATCATCATCATTGACAATTTGGTAGTGATGTGGGATAGCATTTGCACGCGTGTATGCATGATATTACATGTATATCGATGCTGCTGCCGACAGAGAGGATCATAGAATGCACATGTTTACAGTGCAGCATATTCATATGTTCTTCTTGTCCCAAGAATGTGTTGAAAGGAAAATTGACTGGTCCTGCAAATTTGGTAGTTTAAACCAACCGAGTGAGTCTGATTCTGTCAGAACATGAGCACGAACCATGCTTGAACAGGTTTGAATGAATTGAATCAGCCGCCTCCCTCTAAGACAGGGGATCTGACCATGTAACCAATGGCGGTGAAAAAGGTGTCGCAGAAAAAAAAAAAACATCATTACCAACCATATACCAACCAATGAGGTACAATCATTCTGTTCCAGCCATATACCAACCATATACCAACCATATACCATATACCAACCAAGACCATATACAATCAAACGCTCTAAAATACAATTGCCCTTTAAAAAAAAGAAGAAAAAACACCGGACGGGCTGTGTTACGAAGAGGTGACCTGGGCCGCCAAGACGCCATTGTCACCGGCCAGGACAACTTCAGAGATACACCGATGGGAAATTCCCTGGTGGTGAATTTTTAATGGATTTTAAATGCCTACATTTTATGGTTGATGGTTGTACCCATAAAATTTTGATGGTTATATGGGCTTTGATTGATGTTTTATGGCTAAGCCTCATATTTGATGGTTATAATTATACCCATACCACTTCAGTGATTGAAACTGAACACCATGGACCCGAACCCAAGTTTTGAACATGAACCAGCTCTAAATCCACTGCTTTGGGCCAGATCATGAAGCGTTCCGAAAAAAAACTATGGCCACTTGGGGGTTACCCCATTGACAAACCCAAATTGTCATCCTGGTGTCATGTTTTCCCCACATGATGCCAAGAACCTAAAAAAAAATCATTGGGCTCCCTGAAATGGCATGTGCTCAGTAAGGGGTTTCAAAGACATGCATTTCACCACCTCCAAGAAAATACAATATCATTGTTGGATCCATAGGGATTGCATCGACGTGGCACTCCCTCATCATGGATCATCATGAAATTATGATATGATTTGTGTTTATACCTATATTAATGCTCGTATTTATGTAATATAATACCGTGTATGTATGTATAAATATATATATATATATATTATATATTTTATATTTACACACAGATTTGTGTATATATATATATAGGTGTATATATATATATATACACACAGATTTGTGTATATATATATATATATATACATGTACATATATTTGGTAGTTGGGACACCTGTAACACCTTTGCCAGGAATTTGGAGGGCCTGTCGGAGTGGCTGTGTCAACGGCTGGTGGTGGAGGTGGGACCTCAAGGGCTTTGGGATGTCATGGAATGATGGTTGCCATAGCTCTGGTGCCTTAGCATTTTGAATAAGTAAATCCAACTAATAGGGCCGTGGCTGCCATAGCTGTGCCACAAATTATTGAAGGTAATTTGATCGCACGCGGTTTGTTTCTTTATCGTTTCACAGCCTTGGCAAGAATTTCACTGATCTTTGACAGTCTTGCATGACAACAAAGCCAGGGCTCAATGATGTGGAGTGTTCCTAAAATATTGGTGATCCATGGTTATTTCATGGATCATCTACCAGAGGATTTTCCTATGGAAATAAACCATCCAGCTATTGGGGTTTCTGCCGCAGGCAGTTCGCTTGCGCTTCTCCTCCCGCACCTTGGAGTCCAGGGGGTAACCAAATCTAGCACTTAAACGTGGCTTTTCTCATTTGCAAGGCGGCAACCACGGCAATAGTTATTTTATGATAGTTTGTGTTAATTTATGTAGTGAAATTGGAGTTGCATGTTCACCAAGTGATTTTCGTAAACGGGACTCCCACTTTGCAGGAGACGAATTTCAGGACCCCCAAGATCACCAAGCACTGAGGCTGGCGTTCGGGAGTCATTCCCTGCAGTTTGCACTCTTATGTCGGCGCCCATGGGACAATTTCGGATAGCTTGGAGGCCAACCATGTGAACATTGGTAGGTTCCCTTGAGGATATTTGCCAAGCAAAAACACCAGAATAACTTTCGATTTATAACATGCATACAGTATGATTATATATATAATTATATATATGTACAATCACGGTTTTTAGTAGATGATAGTTTTGGGTTTGTTTGTTGTCTAAGAGAAGAATGATGTATTGAATTTGAACCGTCTTCAATGGTATATAAGAACAACAAACATCACAGTTTGTGCTGCAGCGCGCTTAGAGCCATATTCTTCTCCTGATTGATCAAACATGTGCATTAAATACATTTAAATTTTTAAATACGAAACGGTGAACAGGTTCTAAAGAAGAGCTCCTTAGGACACCTTCGTCAAAGTTTTTTTTCCTCTCGATGTGATCATCAAACCAAACGCTCATATAGATCATAGATCTCCGTTGGCATATTATTGGCAGGATGAAACTATTAATCCACTGTGACTCTGCAAACACGTTTGTTTTGGGGCATCGAAGAACTTGATTTTTCTTGTCTTTGCGAGGATGACAGGCATCAACATGTAATGGTGGATTGTTGTTTTTTTTTTCTCGGGGGAGCAACTGATTTTAGAATCTATGGCTCCCCTGCTCCGCCAAACCGAGGACTCCGCGAGAGAGGCTGTCACCATCACCACCCTGACCATTATGGCCAGTGACCCCCAGTGAAAGGGCTGTAGCTTTTCATGCAAATTGAAACGAAATTAACCAGGTAGTAGGTGTGAATAGACGGTCGCATTTTAAGCACCAACAGATTTGCATGTATAACAGTATATGATATAATATGATGTAATATGGTATAATATGATGTAATATGATGTAATGTGATGTATATAACATTAAATGTATGCAACACCTCAACATTTATTAGATGATATATCTTACAAGTATCAGAGTTTGAATGCACAACATTTTCTGAGGCTGAACCTTCGCGATGGCAAGATCGCTGTGAGGAGGTCAGGTCGGGACGGTCGGGACGGTGACGGCCATTCGTGGCACAGCGAGGGAAGACAGATGAGAGAGGTCATCCAAGATACCATGAATAGTTTGCCATGAATATAGATGATTATAATCATTATATAGATGATTATAGATGATTATAGATGATTATAGATGATTATCATCCAAGATTATACCATGAACTATGATTATAGATGATTATAGTCATTATATGTATTTATATGTCATGAAATCACCCTTTTGGCATGATTTTTATGTTGACAGTATAGTCGTTAATGAACAGTTTGCCATGCCGGTTCGCACCACATCCCATATTGTCCTGTTAATGTAGCCTAATCATCCCCTAATTGTCGATGATGTTCGATATTTATCCCATAATCAATTATAGTTTTTTCATAAACTGTCATATCTATCATCAATCCCATGCTCATCCGACATGTTTTCTTTAATTAACAAGTCATTAATTACCAATTATGTGTTTCATATGAATGTAGCACATTCAATTTCATAAACCATCCCCAAAATCACCCTTTTTACAGTTATGGCCCTTAACACTTGTAAATACAATTATATCTCCGATAGTCAAGGTTATATAATGTTATATATCATTAGATGCCGTTTAGAACTGTTAAGGGCCATAACTGTGATGAGATTTGAACCATCCCAGTGGCGAAACAAACAGCCGCCAGGGATAGCCCACCATTTTCACCCGAGGTTCTTGAGGAGGTCCTGACCATAACTTGCCATGGCGTGGCGGAGGAAGAGCTGTGGCCCTGGAGGAAAAAGGGGACCGGGAGAATCAGCAAGAAAAGCTGGGGAAACATATGGTGGAAAAGATGGCATGGATTCTATGAATTTGAGCTCAAATCCATGAAAACTCAAATGGGGAAATCGCGCGCAGAAAATTCGGCCACGTGTTTGTTGGCCTCAATGTCAGACTTTGAGCAAAGCAAAATGAGATATTGAATTTAACGAATTTTGATTAATGCCAGTGATACTGAAGAGTCAGGAAAACAATATCCAGCACATGAGATGATCGGAGCCCAATGAACGACCAGATTTGTTTAGATAGATATCCATGTCCCCATAAACACCCCCCCAAGGATCCCCGATGGAATGTGTTACATTTCTTCATTGGCCGGAGTCCCATTGTCCTTGGGTCAAGGGGTCAGTATTAGAAAGTAGGATTCTTAAATTACAGAAGTTTAGTCAACAAATCCCGCGGACATGCCAATAAAACATCACTAACCAACCCAAGTAACCACCAGATATATGCTCACCGTTGGCGGCTGATATCCCAACATTTTGAGGTTAGCTATCCCCATGATATCTCACCTGCGCATCCAGGTTGGACCTGGCGAAGCGCATGTGTTTGGATCGAGTGGCTGAGGTGCCGATGGTGTGGTTCCCTCTCAGGATCGACTATATGACTATAGTATTACATTCTGAGAAAGCAGTGATTGGCAAGGAACGTGTTGGCATGTGAATCTGACATGTCATGCAGGTGCGCCTGCTGCCTTTTTGTATCGAGGCCTTCAGCCATATTAGGTTACGCTTCGCTCCAGGAAAAGCCATTGCACTTCGAGCGCTTTGCAGTTTGGCTTGCCGGTGGCACCGGAGCACTTGGTTGCGGCTCAGGGAACTTTGTTTTGGCATTGCTCTGCTGCGCTACTCCACTTGCATTTGCACGGGGGACTTTATCTAGGTTCTGGTGTTTGAGGCTGGTGATCCTTGCGGGTGACCTGGTTTCGATCTCTGAGGGCTAAGATACGGTCCTGACATCATTCATCTTTGGCTGGTTGCTGCGTAACTGGTTTTGGTGGGTGGTGGAAGTTGAGGTTTCACTACGTGTTTCAACTCCTTTAAGGAGACCCTTGTGGAGCGCGAGATGGCAGACAATGAGAAAGAAGGCAACGGAGGGGCCTGGGGAAAAGTCCCAACATGGGACGGATCTCCGCAGACATGGAGAGCTTTCCAACGTGAGATGCGTTGGTGGCTCAGTGCACTTGACCTGGAAGGCACCAAATGGCTCCTTCGCCAATCAGGCGTTGTGCGCCAGCGTGGCGAGGAATTCCTGCCAGAAGAGTTGGAGTACCAGAAAGAGGAGAAAGGTGTGGATCCAGAAACCGGAAATGAGGTGACCTTGGTCCAGGAAGATGCTCTGAGCGGCATCAACAAGCTGCTGAAGGCGTTGGAGGGCATCAATGGAAGGACAACGCTTGACAAGCGTGGTGAGCTCAGAAATGCCTTTTACTTAGAGATGAAAAGGCGACCAGGTGAGAGGATTGCTGAGTTCTGCACCCGTTTTCGAACGGCCTTGGCAGATCTTCGATCAGAAGGCGTGCAGTTGCCCTCTGGCGAGGTTGGATGGTTCTTCAAGGCGAAGTTGGGGTTGGATCCACTTCGGATTCAGTTGCTGGATACAGCCCTCCAAGGGGCAGAAGAGTACGAAGCAATTGAGCGAGAAGTTCTTCGACTTTTCAAAGAGCTGCATGCCCAGGATCCTCTGGTCAGACGAGTTGGTGGCGATGGCAAGGGATCTCCGCTTTTGCAACGGTTCCTGTCCTCGCAGTCAGGTCCCAGCAGATCTACGTCCTATGCTCCCTCTTCTGCGTCCTCTATGCCGAGGTCATACAGGTCTTCCTCCTCTGCGAGCTCTGGTAGGTTTGGAGGCGGTTTCAGAAAGCCGTTTCCGCCCAAGCAGGTCATGGTGTCAGAGGTGGAAGAGACAGAGAATGACGATGAAGAACATGCAGACGCCGAAGATGACGGCGGCGACCCTGGCATTGAGGATATCATCAGAAGCGAAGCTGAGGCGCTGGCTGCTGAATTAGATGAAGCAGTTGAACAGGGCCTGGACGCTTCAACTCTACAGGAGATTGAAGAGACCGTGGAGAACGCTGCGGAGGCCCTGATCACCATGAAAGAGGCTCGAACAAAGTTGCAGGAGGTGAAGAAAGACCGCGGGTACGGTCGAGCTGGAACTGGAGGTGAAGGTGCTTCAAGGTCAGCCAGAAGAAGGCTTCTGGGAAACACCCTTAAGGTTTCGATTGCGGCCTTCCGGGCCATTGGGCAGGTGACCCTGAATGCACCCAGCCCGGAAAGGGATTGGGCAGAAAGCCCTTGCTGAAGAAACCATACAAGCAGGTCAAAGTGGTAGAAACTCTTAACACCGAGCATGTTGAGGGCGGTGAAGAAGGTGGACATGAAGTTTTGACTGTTTCATCGGTGCCTTTGACTCCGGCGCTGATGATTGCTTTGGATGAATCTCACCGCAAGCCCAAGGAGGTGAATGCAATTTCAGCGACTTTGACTGCAGACAAAAGACTTGTTGGCGCACTTGATTCAGCTTGCAATAGAACCTGCACTGGTCCTGATTGGTTGGAAGGGTTCCTGAAGGGATTGAAAAAGGCTCCACAGGCCATCCAGGACTTGGTCATTACCAGGCCCGAGCGGGAGACCTTCCGGTTTGGGAACGGTGGGACACAAGTGTCCTTGGAAAGATGGAAGATTGGTATGTTTCTGGACTTCATTAGTTCAGGTGCCTTCTCTTGGACTTTTGCTAGGCCGTGATTTTTTGGAAGCAGTTGGGGCTGATCTTTCATTTCTGAGACGAGAGCTGCGCTGTGAAACTTTGAGTACTACATCCATTCCTTTGAAGCAGCTCATGGCAGGTCATTACCTGCTGCCTCTCCTGCCATCCAGTTGGCCAGGTCTGGGCACTCAGAGATGGCGTCGTTTTGGTCAAGATGGAATTGTTGAGCTGCAGATGGATTCGAGAGATTGGGTTCAACATTGTTTCAGAGGTCGAAAAGGTTTGAAGGTTGCAGGACATGATCACATGTTGACAGAACATAGCATGCAGATCGCCAATTTGGTCTGCACCGTGATGTCCTCTCCCGTTGACTCTCCAGCGGTTCAAGATTGTTTGATGACCGGCCGATCTGATCGGCGCAGCACCCCGACGACATCTTCTACGACCAGATCAACTTCTTGCTCTCCGCCTTTGCCCAAGTCCCATGGACCCTCAGCCAAGTCCCAGCACTCAGCGATGGCGAAGAATGACTCTTCGACTTCGAGAAAGGTTCCTATGGGCAGCAAAGGGCGTCGTTTTGTGGCTGGTGCAAAGACCTTCCTTGCGCTGGCTGCCCTTGCCTTATCCCTCGGTGGCAACTCCCGAAGCCTGGCTCGAGCAAGCCCAGAAGCAGGCGAAGGACAAGGTGCAATCTTTCCGTCATGTGGACAAGGCGTGGCGGCAAGGGAAGTTCAATTTGAAGAATCTGGGAGATTGCGCTCACCTGAGGCAACGTCTTGGCCTCCGAGTTTCCTTCATCGAGGACCCTTTGGTGGAAGGCATGGTGATGGGAATGGCAGCCAAGGGTCTCAACACAAAGATCCGAAAGGCTGTGCAAGAGGAGGCTCAGGCACAGGCAAAGAAGTTGAGTTCCGATGCGAGGAGAGAGGAGGAAGCAAGGACTCTCATTGGTCCGAGAGGCGGCCTGCCCTCTCTTCGAAGCGATTTGATTCGATTGGCCGCTCTTCTTCACGTCCCCATCGAGGATTCGGACACTGTGGAAAAGCTCAAGGAGAAGGTGAAGCCAATGATTGCCATCCTGAAAGAGAAGTCTCCACCACTGACTGCGGTGAAGTAGGCTGCCAAGAGCAAAGGCGCCCGACCAAAGAGCTCTCCAAAGGAACTCAACGCAACTTCAATGAGTTCCGAACATCGTCCTCTCTCAGCTCTTCAGGAAGAAATGCGGAAGATGGCAACTCAGATGCAAAAGTTGCAGAAGCAGATCGAAGAGCGTCAGGACCCTCAGGTCTTGGATTTGACCATGACGGACGTGAAAGAGGAGGAAAATCCTTGGGACAACATCTCGGACGGCGAGAAGGAAGCCATCCATCAGAGCTTGAACGATGCCTACGCCCAGAGTCTGATGGCTCAGTATGGGGACTGCATCGAGGATCTGACAGAGGATCAAATGGCAATAGTGCTGGACCCGTGAAGCTGGAACGTGATCAGCATGGGTTCAACCCTTTTTCTATCAATCAAACCTTGAAGAAGGGGCAAGCACAGCTGATTGCTCAAGCATGGTCCAAACATGAAGCTGAACGTTTGAAGACCTCGCTTGGTCCTCGTCGCTTGACCGAGATTTTGGTTGCCGATCATGATGCTGAAATGTGGAACTACATGACTGCTGAGACCTTCATCCAACCAGTCTCCTTTGACCTTGACTCCTACGAAGCCTTGGCGTCGAACGAGACTTATGTGAATGACATCGCTGAACAGAATGTCAAGGCCCATGAGAACAATGAAGCTAACAAGTATGACAAGGTTTCAAAGTCCAACGCGGTTCCAAAGTCCCATGCGGTGCCAAAGTCCAAGCAGCCTTTGGTGTCTGAGATTTACACAAGTGCAGAGAACGTGATGAAAGAGGCAGTGAAACGAGGTCACAATGTTGGGACCTCGATGTCACTTGAAAGCGGATGGAATTTTCTGAACCCTGAGCACAGGAGAAAGGCTTATCACAAGGTGATGGAGGAGAAACCTTTTTGTCTGGTTTTGGCTTTTCCATGTGGTGGTTTTTCTCCTTTGCAACGTCTCAATGGCAAGTTCCCAGGACGTCGAGCTTTGCGACGTGAAGTGGCTCGTGAGCTGATGTCCTTTGCTCTGCAGTTGGCAGAGCTCCAAATTCGAGAAGGTAGACATTGTGTGCTCGAGAATCCCAAACCCAGCGAAGCCTGGAATGAGGTTGAAATGCAAAAATTCATAGAAGAGCACCAAGTCCACCTTGCTGACTTTGACCAATGTCGGTTCGGTCTTCGCAGTTTGACCGGCGAACTTCACAGAAAGCCTACGAGGATGGTAAGTTCTGGCTCCAAGATTGCGGATCAGGTGAATGGTTTTGTTTGCACGCGTGACCATTCTCATTCTCCTGTCATCGGTGGTGCGAAAGTGACTGCACGCGCAGGCATTTACCCCAGAGCCTTAGCATGCGCTTTGGTGAAGGGCATCGAGAAGCAGTTTGAAGCGGATTTCAAGTCCAACGAGGTTTTAGCGTTGCAAGCTGGTGCAGATGAGGAGGAAGAACTGGCTTTTGAAGGTGGAGAACTTGCCCCACGGCATGATGATGATGAAGGTTCAGATGTTGAAGATGGCCAACATCCTGATGGAAAGCCCCTGACAGTACCTGCTGGTGTCCGAGCGGCTGTGCTCAAACTACACCAGAACACAGGCCACAGAAGTGGTAAGCGGCTCGCCAGGGCCTTAGCGATAGCTGGGGCGCCGTCTGAAGCGATCCTGGCGGCCAAGCAGTTGCAGTGCTCAGTTTGCAAGGAGCACCAGGCTCCAAAGGTGAGGCGGCCTGCTTCACTTCCTCTTCCCAAAGACATGGGCGATCAAGTTCATGTTGACCTGTTGGAGGTGGAGGACTGCAAGGAGCAGAAGTTTTGGGTGGCTCACGCCACCGATTATGCCACAAGATTCCAGCTGGCCGAGATCATCCCTGACAAATCTACGGCCTCTGTGGTGAAGTTCCTCTCCAACAGATGGGTGGCAACCTTTGGCCCTCCTCGTGTCATGGTGGTGGACCAAGGCCGGGAATTCATTTCCTGGGAGATGGAGGAGTACGCCTCATCTCAATCAATCCTGCTACACCACATAGCAGTGCAGGCACCATGGCAAAATGGAGTAGCGGAAAGAAGCGGAGGAATCCTCAAGACCCTCCTGGCAGCCGTTGTCACCTCCAAGGCGGTCATTGGCAAGGACGACATGGAGCTTGCCCTGGCCGAAGCAGTCTCAGCCTACAACGGCGACATCAATGAGTCTGGTGCCTCTCCCTATCAGGCTGCTATTGGCCGACAACCCAGGATGATAGGAGACACCTTGGGAGGTATTCAGACCAGACTGGCTGAACATGGACTCCTTGAATCCAAGCCCTCTCTGGCTCGACAGTTGGCAATGAGGGAGGTGGCCAAGGTGGCGATGACCCGGCTCCATTTCAGCAGAGGCCTGAGGAAAGCTGAGCTTGGCAGATCCAGAAACCCAACAGTGCAAGAGATGCCTGAGCCTGGAACTATCTGCTATTTCTTCAGGCCCATGCGTTACAACAGCAAGACAGGTCCAAGCAAGAAGAAGCTGACCCTGAAACGTTGGCATGGCCCTGCACTCCTTGTGGCTGTCGAAGGCAAGACTTCGGCCTACCTCAGCTACAAAGGTCAGCTGACAAAATGTGCGTTGGAGCATGTGAGACAAGCTTCAACTATGGAGCAGATCGCAGCGGAGTCTTGGCGAGAGGCAATTGATGAAGCCGTTGAGGCGGCCACTTTGGATTTGACTCGCCAGGGACTTCCTGAACCTATTGATGGCCAACCTGCTGGCGGTGGTGGTGGTTTGTCAGCTCCGGCAACTCCTGGATTTTTGCCTTCAATCTCTCCAGCACTTCCAGTGCCTTCTACACCACCTCCGGAGACAGCCGCTCCAGGTCAAGATCTGCCTCCTGTACGAGCTCAAGATCTTGCTATGGCCTTGGGATCTGCAACTGAAGCTTCTCTTCCTGGATCTGGACTTTCATCCAGAAGAGTAAGCGACATTGGCACGGCACCTAGTGGACTTCAACGTGGGCTCAGCGATGGACTTCGAAGCGATGGATTTCGACGAAGAGCCGACACCGGTTTTGAGACCGGAAAGGTGCCAAAGATGCCTGATCCAGCCGGGATCAAAAGACCTTCTGAGGTCACTGCGGAACAGCTTCGTTCCACGGCATCTGCTGCTGCATCTGCAGACAGCGTTGTGCCAGCTGAAGTGCCAGTTCCTGAAGACTCTGCTTTTGAGGCCATGGAGGTTAGCAAGCATCAGCATGCCCTGGACTTGTCACAATCCTCCAAGCATCCACTCGTTCAGATCTTCGAAGCTGCCCGGCAAGATCGTCACCAACCCCTGGAAGCTCATGTTCCTGACCATGGGAGTTGGGATGGCCGATGGCCTTTGCCCTCCAAAACAGAATGGCTTTGTCGTCAACAACTTGGACTTTGTTGGCCCAAAGGCAAGGAGGACATTGAAGATCACGAAACCATGGCAGTTCAAGCAGCCAGGAAAGAGTACTTTTGGAAGAACCTGCCAGAAGAGCAGAAGCCGGCATTTCGTGAAGCTGCTGCTCAAGCTTGGTCAGTTTGGAAAGAGAACGACGCGATCGAGGAGCTCACTCCTGAGGAATCTGCAACGGTTCGTGAAAGACTCAAAAGGAATCGAGAGCAGTGCAAGATCCTCACACCTCGATATGTGTTCACTGACAAGCACGACCCGCTCAGGACAGAGTCAAACCCTTTGCCATTGAAAGCTCGAGCTCGCATCGTTGTCCCTGGCTTCAAGGACATCCTTGGGTTTGGTTTGCGCAAAGATGCACCCACTTGCTCCAGAATCGCTCAGCATTTTCTTTTGACCCTCACAGCAGCCTTTCATTGGGTTTTGATGAGTGCGGACATCAAAAGCGCCTTCTTGAAGGGTGACCCGTACATGGCTGGTGTGCGTGAGCTTTTTATGGAAAATGTCCGAGGGCGAGATGGTGAACCTCGTTTGCCGTTTCCAGACCTTGTGAAGATCAAGAAGGGTGTTTTTGGTTTGGCAGATGCCCCTAGAATGTGGTATCTCAGGCTTCATCGAGCTCTCTCAGAAGCTGGATGGGAACGTTGCCCTTTGGACTATGCGTGCTGGCTCCTTTGGTCTCCCGACAGGAAGACACTGGAAGGAATGATTCTGGCTCATGTGGACGATTTGCTACTTGGTGGCAACCAGCGTGCCAAGAAGAAGCTCCTGGAACTTGGTGATCAGCTTGGTTTTGGGGCCATTGAAGAGGGAGAGTTCACCTATTGCGGCAAGAAGTTCAAGCAAAAAGCTGATGGAACTATCCAAATCTCCATGAAGGAGTACCATGAGAACCTGAAGTGCGTGCCCATTCCAGTTCACCGCCGTGAACGTCCTGACGCAGAGCTTCTGGAATCTGAGCGCAAACAACTTCGCGCCATCCTTGGGTCACTTCAATGGTTGGTGGCACAGCTCCGTTTTGACATGGGCTTTTTGCTTTCAACCCTCCAAGGTGAATCCCAGACAGTTGGCACATTGATGAAGGCCAACCAATTGGTGAAGAAGTTCAAGCAATGCCCGGACTTCAGCCTTACATTCAAGCCCATGGACCTCTCCGATGCTGGTCTGATGGTGGTGACAGACGCCTCCTTGGGAAACGTCACCAAGCAAGGCGGTGCTGAGGGGACCACTTTTGAGAAGGTGTTCAGCCAGAGCGCCTACTTTGTGCTCCTCGGCGACAAAGAACTGATGGCTGGTCGAGAAGGCAATTTTTCTGTAATTGACTCCCGGTCGCACAGATTGCCGAGAGTTTGCAGGTCTACATATGGTGCAGAACTCCAAGGGACTGAAGAAGCCTTCGATGTCGGTCTTCTTTGCAGAGGCTGGCTGGCTTTGCTGAAGGGTTTGCCTTATGTTGAGGCAGCCCGTGACACCATCCCTCTTTGCGTGGTGACAGACGCAAAGGATGTGTATGACAAGAACACCAGCGATACACCGACGTATGGCTCCCAGAAAAGCTTAGCCTTCACGGTGGCATGGATCAGACAGGTACTTGGAAAGCCCAACACCCTGCTGAAGTGGACGTCCACTGAGAACATGTTTGTGGACGTCGGGACAAAAGACATGGACCATGACCATTTGCACCAGATCTTGGACAGCTGCCGCTGGAGTGTGAGCTTCAACAAGGAATTTGTGAAGCAGAAGCAGAAGAAGTCACGTGCTGCAGCTGTGAGTGAGAGAGGCAAGCTGTTAGGTGATCCTCTGGACGAAACGTCCGCGGTGTATCCTTACTTAGCTCAGCTAGGTAGCAGTCCTGGATGGCATCATAGAAATGGTACAGTGATCAACGTAGCACACAATGCGAAGTCATTCCGAGTCCCCACTGCACGGTTTGATCCGAAGAAGTTTTCACAGAGAACCACGTATGCCAGGTTTGATGATCCAACCGGTAGGTCAGAATGGAGGATTTTGGAAGAAGAAGTAGATTTTGGGAATATTTGGGAATCTGAAGAATCCCCAAGCCTTGATTGGCAGTTGTGCAGCGATTTTGATCAGCGTTTTCCGTTCCTTTGCCACAAAAGAAGAAGAATTCACTGAGAAAGCAGTGATTGGCAAGGAACGTGTTGGCATGTGAATCTGACATGTCATGCAGGTGCGCCTGCTGCCTTTTTGTATCGAGGCCTTCAGCCATATTAGGTTACGCTTCGCTCCAGGAAAAGCCATTGCACTTCGAGCGCTTTGCAGTTTGGCTTGACAGATTCAATTATATAACTTTCATTTTAGTTGATGACTCTTTGATGACTAAATATTTATATTATAACTGTAGTTCATGAATTTAGTTGAACCTACACCCATCGGACACGACGAACAAAGATGGGTCAGATGGGGCTCCTGCGTGAACTGCAGCTGCATCGTTCTAGTTCGAAAGGCCCGGTTCCTTTAAAAACATATTTGGGTTCATCTCAAAATCCTCCAAAATCCACGAGTTAGTTTATCATAATTTTCCAATTTTCCTATTATTAAAATGATTTTGTGAGGGCCCAGTTTTTTGAGACACAGCCATCCCCTAACATCTATTGCTCAGGCAGCTGCTTCGCAGCCCTGGTCCTTCATGGGTTCGGGGCCTACACATACTGTATGCATACAGATTGCTAATAATCAGTCGGTAAGTTTATACTTGTATAGTTACATCATGTAGTTGCTTAGTGATATAGACTTGACATATGAACGATCGTTTTTTTTGTGTTTTTTTCGTGTGGAAACACGCGTCTGAATGCGCATATGGCAAGGAATCCAAGCAGTTCCAAGCATTCCTTGGGCCTGGGATTAGCTTCAACTAATTGGATTTATTAGCAACTGAGGTATAACATGGTATAACCATGATATATACCCAGTGCCCAGTTACAAACTAACGAATCCCATGGCCCATTTGGATCCATTTGGCCCATCTAAGTATGGGCTGCACGATGCTGCACGTCGACATGAGGCACGCTCTACGGTTATGATGCTGTCGGGGACCTGGGGCCGCCGTGAGGATTGGATCCCAAGGCTGGTAAGCCAACCAGGTTCGTTGAGGCGACCTCACACGACTTTCATTGTAACTTAAGAGTAAGGGAAACCAGTCCAAGAAAGACCCGTTCGGTGTCAGATTTGCCCAGAAAACAAAGAAAAGAAAAGACATGTTCCAACGCCATGCATACAATTATACTATATACATGCCGTATATATATATATATATACGGTAAATGTAATCGTATTATATAATATTGATATGCATGCGCGTGTTTTTGCCACCTAGACTGCGTGCCATTTTGCAATGAGAACATCATTTTTGAGGTGCCCCATGGCTGAGGCTGGCACATCTCGGGAGATCGTTGAGGTTCAGTTGGCAGCCGTTGGGAGACGGGTGCTCGTTTTCTTACGAATGTGGGAAAACAATGCCATAAACCACCCATTGGGGAATGGTTTCTACATACCACCTATAAAAATGGTGATTTGGGAGATGGTTTATTTTTGTTTTACCCACATGATATTATAAGATTGTGGAAATATAGTACACAATACCGAACCCAGACAACTAAACCGGGGTTCCAACTAATTTTGAATGTTCTAGCCAGACTAGCGAACCTAGCTACCAATCAGCATCTAACATTAACCATTAGTTATGGTTAATGAATGACGCTTATCACCGTTTTCTAATGGTAAATGAGGACGAATGATGATTGACCACAAGGACTATAATGTTAATTAGCACTAGTTGGTGGTTAGGCGGGGGCTGTTCGGAGCTAGGGTATTCATATTCCGCATGCGGAGCGGGGAGCGGCTCGGGCTGCGAATGGACTTTCCCAACCACATGATAGTTTGGATAAGGACTTTACTCTCAACAACAGGTTTGTTTTGATTGAAATTTGCCAAAAGCACAACAAGGGATCATTTTTGGGCCGTCTGTGAAACATGGATTGATTTGCCTGCCAAAAATGAGAAAACGCTAGATTAACTTATTGACAGTTGGGTTTGTTCAAAAATTCAAAATTGTGGCTATGGGGGTTTCCTAAAATAGGGGTACCCCTAAATCATCCATTTATAGATTGGATTTGTCATTTTAGACCATCCAGCTACCGGGGTACCGTCATTTGTGGAACCCCTATATATTATGGTCCATGTACTTCTTGCAGTGAGGCTTCAGATTCCAAATTTACAAGGCGTAGAGTGGGATAGAAGCTAACAAACCCTACAGGATGGCCCCCCCCAGTTATAAGTTGGTTTATAACCCAGCCTAAATATAGTTATAAGTATCATACACTATTGTTATTATAGTTATAAACCTTAGCTAACTATGGGGCCCCATCCTGTAGAGAATAGAGATAAATCATTCTCCAAACCACAAATGCTCATGCCTGACAGCAATGTCACTAACTATTGCTAACTGAGAGATTCATCAAATTATATTTTTTTTGATATTCCTTCTCAGATACTCATTCATTGTAACATAACATATCTCAACAATCCACGGGATTTTCCATCATGTGGAGCTTTGCCATGGGGAAATTCCCAAATCATCCACTGGAGTGGGCTTTCCATAAACCATCCAGCCATTGGGGTATCCCCATGACTTAGGAAACCACCATGTCTGGGTAAATTTGATCACGACCGAACCCTGTTCTCCCGAACCCTGGAATCATGGTCAAAAAGGGAATCATCCCCAAATGGCCCAATAATTCAAGTTAGTGAAATATTACCCGTATCATTTACCCAGACCATGTCATCAAGGACTTTCCCTTCGCTTTCCCTGCCCCGGGTGTCTCGGAGATGATCATCCGGAGGCCTTGATTGCTTCCACTCCCACCGGGCATTTGTTGACCAGCGTCCGGCGCCGACGTTTTCTCGGCGTTGTGTATATGTCAAATGGCGATGTTTTGTCATGGCGAAATGATGATTCAACCAGTGACGTGACTTGGTTATATGAAAGTATAGGTCTGAAGATGTTCAATCAAACCAAACAATTCGAACATTATTCGAAATATATTTCATGTACGGTATTATATGTACCATATTAACCAGCATGTGTGCCATATCTTTGATGGTATACGTTGGTGAACATTTCAGACATAGAACATTTGGTGTTGGTCAATTGCTGCAGCGTACGTGTTGCGACCCTGTTTGTCATCGGATGTTCTGTGTTTGTGAATCTGCGTGACTTTAATACAACCCAGTTGGAGTGCTGATGAGGCTAATATTCAATTAAGGTTTTAGCAGGCGATTGCACTATATTGCATCCTGCCGATGTGGCTGCCAGAAGCAACCGACTGAGGCATACGGACAGTGTTTTTTTCTCACCGTGGAAGTCAGCTGATCCACAAATGCATCTCTCTATTAGATAATCAACACATAATCATATATATATATATAAAATTATCATAGTTTTTCATACTGGATCCAACAGGATGGGGCCCCCTAGTTATAAGTTGGTGTATAACCCCATCGAAATATTGTTATAAGTACCAGTACCATACACTATTGTTTTTATGCTTATAAACCAACTTAGCGAACTATGGGGCCCCATCCTGTAGGGCATGTCTCGTACCCTCGGCGCCGACACCAAGGCCCCCAGCTTTAGCGAAGCCTTGAAGCAAGTGGCAGAGGCGCAGCGATGATGTTGTCGCTGGCGAAATCTCCAAAGCGGCGATTTGTTTGAAAGAAAACATGGTGATATATGTATATATATAATATAAAAATATTATATATATATATTATATCATATATTGCATATATAGATATATATGCAACATATATATATATATTATATTTATGGTGATACTGGTATGTGGTGATATATATATATATATGTATGTGTATATATTAGGACGTAGCTCTACCACGTTTTTGACGGGTCTCTTTAGAGCCTACGTATACCCTTAATTTTTAGTTTTTATACCCTTAACTTTTAGTCTTTATACCCTTAACTTTTAGTTTCTATACCCTTAACTTTTAGCTTTTATACCTTTAACTTTTAGTTTTTATACCCTTAACTTTTAGTTTTTATACCCTTAACTTTTAGTGAATTATATGTGAATTATATATATATTATGTATATATATATTATGTATATTATATATATATTACATATCATATATTATATATATATACAATATATATATATGGTGATATGTGGTGATAATACCATCCGGTAATCGTGGCAATGGTGGTTTTAATGGACAAAACATCTTGAATTGGGACATTGTCCATTGCATTCTTCTACCAGAGGGTAATAGACATATTTTTTGGGTGATTATCGCGACTGGAACAGCCGACCACATTGATAGTTAAATGATATGTCAAACCGGAAGCGTGATAAAGAATAGTGAATAGTGTTTTCTTCCGCTACAACCGGGGTACATCAATCCAACCAGCTTGAAAAAACGTGCAGGATATCCAGAAGTGGCTATGATTTGCTACCTCACCATGTTTGTCGTTTTAACAGCTGAGAGTTTACGACCAATGACCACTCCAAAGCATAGCATTTACATTATGTTTGTGTGCTTGATTTGTGAAGGGAAAATCAACAAAGCTTTGCATCTACTATCATGTGCTATATAACTGATTTCAAGGAAGTGTGTGTGTGTGTATCCCTTCATTCAAAACTGTCACCACTATTTGGTTGAAGTTCCCAATTCCTTTCAACATCGACCAGACTTTGATCTTCCCTGAACAGGAAAACGGCTAGCCATGCTACGGCACAGTCGTTTTTCAAAGTGGGTCACCTTTATGTGGTTCATGGGATGGCGGCTCTGGCTTTGCCACATTCATTGCCCTCTGTTTATTTCACCTGGCTATCGAAAGTACCATTTTTAATAGGTATAAATCATCATATGAATCATAAAAATCATCTATAAATGAGCCATTTTCCATAGATTTATAGGGGACATTCCACTTTTTCCCATGATTTTCCCATGTTGAAACAGTCACAGGGTGAGTAATCGGAACTTTGTTCTGAGGAGATCACATTGGAACGTTTCAACGAGTCCCTGCGGTTTGGGCTGCACAGAAGGGTTTGGGCATACCAGGCTGCGGGGGCGCAAAAAGGTCAAAAAGGATGGCAAAGCACAAAATCTATAGGTTTAAGTTATAAAAAGTCTATAGGCTATAGGATGGGTTTAAGGATATAGATCCAAAAAGTCTATAGGATAGGCATTAACAAGAATTGGTTTAAGTTAAAGTCTATAGGCTTGCAGTGGTATGTACAGAGTGAGTCAAGAAACATTTGATCAATATTATAACTGGATATCTGATGTGACCAGTGTGATTGAATTTGCTTGATGGAGATGTGAGGGTTTCCAGACATGGGGGAACCCCCAAATCAATCCAAATCATCCATTCGAATCGGATTTTCCGATTTTCCACTATAAACCATCCATTTTGGGATATCCCATGTGTTGTTTCAAGCTGTCTTTTTCCCTATGGAAGACCCAAACCAGAACGACCACGCCAAAGGTCCATGTTGGGCTTCCTGGGTCCTGCTGAGAGCGCGTCGGGGCGCCCAGGGGCGCCCAGCGGGGAAAAGCTGGAAAAACACGAAGCAACCAAGAAACATATATCTGGGTAAATTATAACGACCTCATTACGACCTCACCATAGATGATGGTAAGGTGAATTATCCCAAAATGGCCTTATTTCAGTTTGGTGAAATAGCATGAAATAGTATAATTTACCCAGACATACCGATTTATGTCATCGAACATTCCTGGCAGTTTGGTGATTTTCTCATTTCAATGCTCATTTCCGGGGGATTGTATCAAACATGTCTAGCTAGGGAAATCTGGAAATATCCTAAACCCCATGAATATTGTATCGCAAACCCAATCGTGAAATTGGAGTTATGTTCACCAACTTAGCTATCATAAATCATTTGTCAATTCCATGAAATCCTTACGTTTCATGATTTTCTCGGTTAGATCACCATTTTCCAATGGTTATTGGAGGTTTAAAGCACTTAAGCCCATCATTTGCCCTAGCTTTTCCCAGGAAAAATGCCACTGTTCAGCTTCTTTCAGAGCCATTTTCGCTGAGTTTCCAAGGCGAGGAGCCGTGGTGGTCTCTTGCCCCGCAACGGCCTGGGAACCTGGAACTACTTGGGGCTGTATCCCATTTGGTAAATGGCTTATATACCCATTGGATGATATGGGTATGGTTCAATACCTATTAATACCATTTTTAATGGGATGAACATCCATTTACCAGCTATTTTGGGGTTCACCAGGGGTACAAGGTTTTGACACACTGCCATATGGGATTACATATACCAAGTGGGGCACCACATTTCACGATTCTATATAGCTAAGTTGGTGATCATAACTCCAATTTCACGATTGGGTTTATGGTAGAACGATTGGGCTTATGGTAGATATAACGAACTAGTTAATGGGGTTTATAAACCAACTTATGACTGGGGGGCACCACATTGTACATGTAGGAGTTATACATACATATATACATACATATATATATACAAACGGATCTCACACTATATATGCACATGTGTGTGTGGATGATAAACCACGGATCCTACAGTAAGTGGGATGAACCCCCAAGTAATGAGAAAAGGGTGTGTGAGAGAAAATGGTATCCTCCATAAGTGGCCATGTTTGTAGGGAAAATGATGGGAAAATGATGAGAACCCAATGGATTGGGAGCTACACTATTTTCAGACAAACCCAAAATGTTGAGAAAAAAATACCAGAGAATTGCAGAGGTCCCCACTTTCAGACAAACCCAAATATTATGATATACATGTTGATGCATTATGCGTATGCTGTTCCAGAAGGTGTTAGCTATACAGGGAGAGAGAGAGAGAAATATATATATATATACATATATTGTGATTGCGATATATTTATTAAATTTATAGGATGGCATATTGTCATATAAGGTCCTCATTGCTACGCTGTTCTGATTGCTTTATGTGTGAAACCCTGGTTTCAATCGCACCCATCGGGATGTGGTGAAAGAAGGTGGCTGACGAACTGAGCGGCAGAAAGGCCAGGCCATTCCTGGAAATTCCTGGGACCTCGAGGTACCCAAAATGGCTACCTGGTGATTTGGAAAGGTAAGTGATTACTTGCCCTATGGATCCATGGCCACTGTCTGAGAAGGTACTTATATAACCCTCCAAATTATAGTAAATGATACCCCAGTCCCACTTCCTAAGAAGATACTTGGATCCATAGGGTTGGGGGATTATCCCATTTAGTAAGTGAAGTAACAACTATGTGGATCCTAAAATGTGGTTTCTTAAAATGGGGAATCCCCAAGTCATCACAGCTGGTTCAATACTAAAATGGTCTAATGACTGGATGACTTGGGGGTACCACCATTTTAGGAAACTTCCATATTTATAACATTTTACAACCCAGTTATACATGGGACAATTATCACCAAAGGCTGGGGATGCTACAATATGCTATGCTGCGCCGGCAGCACGGCCTTGCCGGCGCAGGTGCCATTCACCCAGCCCAGCGCTCAACAAGTCGTGGGCGCCTGAGGGGATCAATAGGTTGATTTCAGGGAACATTTAAAGATAGTGATATATACTGGATGGTGGTGACTGGAACATGTGAATTATTTCTCCATTCAGTTGGGAATTTCATCATCCCAACTGACTGGCTCATATTTTTCAGAGGGGTTGAAACCACCAACCAGTATATTAACGGGAAAAACAAACATCAAAGTAGAGCCTTTCGCGAACGTGCTCCTTTGATCCAAAGTCTGGAAATTACTATATGATCCAAACTCTGACGTGTTCGTCTTGCGGAAGCGACGTGACACATGAATGTCGGCAATAAATTTTCAAGAAATTGGCCAATTATTATTGCAAGCAAAAAACATGCTTCTATTAAACAACAATGGTGACAAGTAGAAAGAAAATCACGATACCTAACAATATTGCATTGGGAGTGCGTGGCAGATCTTGTATGGAAGATACTCGTACAATAATTACATATCAATATCTATAGTGTGAGAATCTGCACATTGCAGACAGGATTTCTATCATGAAAGTTTCTATACAGATATATGGAAGTTTCCTGAAATGGGGGGATATACCATTATATACCCCTAAATCATCCATTTAAAAATAGGATGTTCCCTTATAAACCATCCATTTTGTGTACCCCCATTTATGGAAACCTCCATATACTGCACTGCCACATTTTGGCATCAGCGACACCCAACGGGTGGCCGAGGAAAGTGTCTTGCGCAGCATCCAGGGCCTGGACGCCAGTGAGGCAGCGCGTCGAGGGTCCGCCGTTCACGATGTGGAGGATTTGTTCAATGGGGGGCCCCCTGGTTACCATGGGAAAATGCTGATCAAACCATAGGGAAAATGGCAAATACAGTTAACGAAAAATACAGTAGATGATTTATGATAGCTGAGTTGGTTAACATAACGCCAATGTCACGATTGGGTTTATGATACTTAAAATGATTTTTAACTATAACTATATAAATGTGGTTTATGAACCAACCTATAATTGGGGGACCCCATATTGTAACCTGTTTGTGCAGCCAGCAACAATGGGGTTTTAATTTCGAAACAAATCAAAACAAGTGCGTCGAAACTTACAGTCGCTGGATTGGAATGAATGTGATAGACGCAGTGGGGTCTGATGAAACCAACAAATGAGTTTCAAACGAACACAGAGCTGAGATAAGCTGAGTCTAGGCAAGATAAATAGAAGTTTTGAACCAAACGCAATGGGAATGTATGACCAAAAATGCAGGAGATAAATGGCAGGGTGCCATGAATGCGGCTTCTCTCCAGTTTCAGAACTATTCAAAAGTTTGGTTATTTGAAGCGTAGATATCCCCCGCAATTTGTTTAAGCATTCTTGAATGTTATGATCTGAGACAAACCATATGTAGCATATTATGTAAAACTAATTATATAATGTATAATTATATATATATATACATATGTCTACAAGTTGCGAAGTGGATGTTTGTGCCGCCTGCAAATTATGTATATATATATATATATATACACACATGTGTGTGCGTGTGTGTGTTTGTGTTTGTGTGTTTGTCGTGTGTGCTCAGAGACGCATTATATCGTTCACTGATTTGGTACGTTTCCATATGTTTCCATCCTTGCTTGCAGGCAGCGGCGCGACGCGTTTCTGCACCCGTCTTGGGCCCAGAAAAAATCAACTCATTTTTTTCAGTACCGCACCCGTTACTATATGAACTATAGGTCGGGATTCACAATGTTGTCTTATTGTCTTATTTACTTAAACAAAATTGGGGATGTACAGAAAACGATCCTCTGTTCTTGACATGATGCTAGTTTTATACCCCCAAGGAAACCACAGTACATTAGCATCCAAGAGGCCCACGTCAAGTCTCCTTTGCATATCAAGAGTTTTCCACGTAAACTAAATAACATGAAAATGAGATACAGTAAGTTCATCCAATAGCAGCCTTGTATATAGTTGTAGATACCAGCAGTTGGGATGATACTGATATGGGCAAATAATTTGGTATTGTTACCAAAGATGACATAAACACTGACAGTAGCTTTTGTAGTGAAGCTAAGGGCCTCAAAGTATTTTACTTATGTTTGATCAATTCCATTAATTCCCTCATTGCGAGGGCTTGAGGCTTAAGATACCAATGTTTCATGATGATTTCCCCCAGCTTAGAGTGTTGGAACTGGTTTTGTTCAAGTTCATCTCTTTGTTTCAACCTCCCAGTTCTCAAGATTATTCAGGGGAAAATTCAGAACCCTGAATGGAGGTACTGCACCATATAAAGCCATACTTACCTAGCCCTTACATAGGCCTCAAGATGGCCTTATATATGGTAGGTACCTCCAACTTAGGTACCTGAAATGGTCATTGAAATATCTCCCCATGTTCAGTATCTATGTTAGTTTGGGAGGGTACATCCCAATGGTATCCCATTTCAATTATTGAACCTCTTAGATTTTGCGCTCAGGCATCACTGGCGCCTGAGGCACAGGGAAAGTCTGCGAGGGATAAGAAGAGATTCACCTTTTTGTTTGAAAGTTATCCTAGGGTAAACTAACATAGATGTGGAACACCCATGGTTTTCCAAGGAAAATTGTCTACAAATAGTCTACAAATGGTATTTTTGTTGCACATCTATGTGCAAAAAGATGTAGACAATTCCCTATAAATTGTAGATTTTCAATTGCCATGTTTGATTGCCGGATGCGATTTTATCACAAGAACCTAAAAGACAGCTGGGATCCCACATTTTGTTATCCCAAAGGGAGTGGGACTACTCCATTTATGTGAGGAGAATCCCACATAAAAAAAACTAGGGCCGACGGGCTGTTAGGGCAATTCCTTCGGCAGTGACAGGTGGAGCACATTCCTGAAGCGCTGGAGGTAAAGCGAGAAGTCTGGGTGCCCCAGTACGGATCCCACTCCGAGCTTAGTTGGTGCCCCAGTTCGTTAGCTAAGTTGGTTTATAAGTCCACTAACTAGGGCCATTATAGGGTTTATGGATGTTTATGGTATATATATATATATATATCATCATATATCTATAGTTGCTATGGTTCATAAACCAACGAACATAACTTCAGGGGCACCACCTTAGAGGATTTTTGAAAAGCAAAGCCTGGAATGCGATCCAACAAAGAAAAACATACCGTGGAAGGTGAGGCCCCGCAGTTATGTTTGTTGGCTTATAACTTTGTTGTAACCCCATGAAAACGATGGTTCGTTATATATACCCCATATATAAACCATGCAGAATTCACCAAGTTATGTTCAAACCATGAAACCCAGCAATGTTTCTTGTTTTTATTTTATTTTTTTAATATGTAATGGTATGTATATGTATATATAGATATATATATAATAAATAAATAATTACATAATATATATATATATATAGATAGATAGATAGATAGATAGATAGATAGATCAGCCTTTTCCAATGGTAAACTTGTCACTTTTGAAGCAGGATGTGACCACCATTCGCCTGGCCAATGGTTTGGTGGTGCGGTGTCCCGATGATTTGGGAGCTGGGATCACAGTGAGTAGTCGTGAGGACATATATGGTATGGTGAGATGGAAATCCTGGAAAACGAGGTCAAAAACCGACTGTTTTTTTTTTCTGTTTTCCGAGTGGTATAGTATATATATATAGTATGTATATATATATATACACTGTATAAGACTGTATAAATAATTTTATATATAACACATGATAGCTCATTTTTGTTGGGGAAACAATTATATTAGTAATTTGATGCTTTCTATTTGCTCAGTTCCCCCCAAAACGTGTCTGAGGTGTTGGGAGAAACCTGATTGATTGGAAAAAGGTTCAACTCTTAAGATTGATTGTGTTATACAGTATTCTGGGTAATTATCATGGTGAATGTATAGGGGAATCATCCCCAAATAGCCCAACATTTCAGGTTAGTGAATTATTGTAATTTGTCCAGAGTATTTTGTTGTGCTATCTTGTATTTGTTGTTTGTGTTCCATTATTTGTTTATAGTTTATTATTAGACGATCAACCTATATAGTAGTAATCCCCAAAAAGATAAAAACGTGAATAATCACTATTTTAGTGGGGATTGACTTTTCTTTCTTTTGATTATATAACTAGCCCTCTTCACAGAGTTAGTGATATCATTCTATAACCTCGGCATTTGGGAATGTTTGAGATATTTTAGCGATATTCATTTGGGAATAACTATTCATGACTATTCCCATTCTCATCCCAAAGATTTCATGTTCTATCTTGTATGTGTCATTGTCGAAACGTTTCCCATATTGGGGGATGGTCATCAGTCGATTAATAGGGAGTGAAACCCACATTATGCCTGGATTCCCATGGAATCTGATGTATGACTCCATAAACCATATACCAAGACTTTTAAAAAATCTCAGCTGGTAGTGTTCGAAGATGCCTGATAAACATATACAAGTGTTAAATATTATTTAAATACCCATACTATAAACAATATCATGTGGGAAACCCAAAACTATAAAGCCAATGCCATAAACCTACCATTTGGGTTTAAAAAACCGCGCCCATCAAAATGGTGATGACTGAGGTCCGGCTCTTGGTGATGCCTGCCAGTCCCTCCAGTGGCCCAGCGCGAGCCGGGACCGCAACGCGATGTTCCTTAACGTGATGCGAACGTTGGTTTGCAAAGCCCATGAATACTACAAGTACCATAAACATCCATAAACCATAGTCAAGTTGGAGTTATATCTGTTCACCAATCTAGCTATCGTTTGGGGGCTCACTTTGTGTAGTTAATTGGGATGATAAGCCGACTCATTAATCGGAACAGATGGAGATAAATGGAGGCAAATGAGTCTTGCGATGAGTGCGGAGTTAGTCTTGCTAAAGATTAGGTTTAGAAAGTTTTAGTATACACTATACATACTTTATCATACTTTGGTTTTGTAATATAACCAGCCACAAGTTTATTGACTGGGATATTCACGTTCTACATTCCAGATCCAGATTTCAAGGCTTTGGACCACCAGTTTTATGGTGCTACGGATTCACTTATAAGTGATAGATAGGCAAAGCGACCCGGTCGGCTGGAAAACCACTGCATTTACCAGCTGGTTATTTAACATAGCCATGGAAAATCACCATTTTTGATAGGTAAACTATCTATAAATGGGTCATTTTCCATGGCTATGTTAAATAACCAGAGGGTATGTGAAGATCATGTTAAATACCAGAAAACATCCTTTTACATCAACACACATCCAAAAACATCAACATGGGAATGGGAAAACATGCATAATTCATGATCAAATTCGCCAGAAAAGTGAAGCCCTCCCCATGAAACCTTCAAAACCTTCAGCATTTCCGCAGGATGCGCTTAACAGTGCCTGGTGGCAGGGTGAGCGATGAACTGGCCGGCCGTGTCTCGATGATGACCGGGAAGGAAGAGCTGCTGAAAGATGGAGATGTTTTGATATTTTGCATGCGTAATTATTCATATTCTGATATAAGGAAACATTTATATATATATTATATATATATATATGTGTGTGTGTGTTTATATATGCATATATTATATGTATAGACATTGACATAGATTTATTTTTGCATGAATGGGCTAGAGATAGATTTAGTTGTCTCTGTGTGGAGTTTGATTAAGGCTCCATTCGCTGAGGTTTGGGAGCTTCACATGCCATGCTGATGACTCTGAACAGATGGGAGACCCAGCGCCAGTGAGGAGTTGCCTGCGACACGTTGCCCGTTAAACTACTTGAAACAAGAATGATTTGGTGGAAAGTTCGCCCCCATTTCACAGGGATATCACCTTTCAGACAAAAAACACACACTTCAGTGAAAACATGATTTTGAAAGCAGGGTCAGCAATTCCACTGAACTTGCAGTTGTGTAAAAATATCAATGGGCTCCCATTCCATCCCATTCCATGGTTGTTGATTGGCATGCGCATGTTAACCGGCCTTGGCGTCCATGGTCCATTGGATGAATGAGTGAAACAATGTGTGGGGCCCCCGTTTACGAAATCGCTAAGTTCACGAACATGACTCCAAAAAACTATGGTTTACGATACTTATAACTTGAAACTTGTAACTTATAACTATATAGTATTCAAGGTGAAACTAAACCAACGAAGAGAACTGAGGGGCCCACATTGAAGGTGGCCCAAGTTATCAAACGCCCAGCTGGGTGGCAAACTGTGTTTTTGACAAATAGCAGAGTTTGCAAATGGGTCGCGAACAAGTGTACACATTGTTTATGGCTTATCCGAATGACATTGTTGTTTGATGATGAGCCACCGTTATGTCTTTTTCTGTGAGATCAACCAAGAAGTGGTCAATTGGATTGCCGGATATTCCTGGTGTTCACTGGATACATATATATATATATGTATATAATTTTTATCATTTTATTTATACATATGTATATATTATATGTATATCGATTATATTTAAAAAAACATCGATATATATATATATATATATATGTAATGTACACAGTATGCTATCAAGCATGTTTTTAGATTGTATTCTATATACCATAATAGCTTATTACAATAATTTATAAGTATATATATATACATGTATGTATACATGCACATTGTAATACGGTATATTGTATGAATTTGGTATGTTCTATCATTCAATTCAGGATCCTAATTTTTGAGGTACTGTGTACCATATAAAGCGATAGAAATTGGAGGTATTTCCCGTACATAGCTGGTACCTGAAATGGCCATTCTCGTGGCTCCGCCCAGATGGTGGTGCGGGTCAATGGAGCCAGGATGAGGCGTGGGGTGAATTTCATATTAGGAAAAACATGGAAAAACGATGAGTTCTCTATAAAAAATCTATAAAACTATGGTGCTTTTCCATCGTTTTTTTCTTACCAGAGGGTATAGTTTCTGTAGTTGAGGCCCCCAGTTCTGTGAACATTGGTTTAGTTTCATCCCATAAATATAATTAGTTAGTTATAAACATCACAAACCCAATTCAATCTATAATCTATACAATGTGGTGCCCCCCAGTTATGTGAATGTTGGTTTAGTTTCACCCCATGAATACTAGTTCGTTATATCTACCATATATCTACCATAAACCGCAGTGAAATTGGATTATATCTACATTAGATTATATATATATATATCTACCATAAACTAGTCCGTTATATATATATTTATATATCTACCATTATATATGTTCCATATATCTACCATAAACCGCAGTGAAATTGGAGGTATGTTCACCAACCAATCGCATCTATAAATCCCCGATCCCCATGGCAGGTTCAACTCTTCCGCGCCTTGAACTCGGTGCAGACCGACTTCCGCGCAGCAGCCGATGCCCTGGAGGTGGCCACAGCCACGGCGGAAGTTTTCCATGGCGGATTTGTTGGGAGAAAATGGGATAAAGTGGCTGCGTACAGTTAAACAAGACCTGAGAATGATGGGAAAAATATGAAAGACATTTTTATTGAAAAACAAATGGATGTATTGGTAGATATTGGTGGGTTGGACTGGAGAATGATGGATAGATGGACAATGGCGTAGGTGGACAGATGGATATATATATATAAATAAATGAATGATTGGGAAGGCAGCGGCAAACCCAACCAACCATGAAGTTTCTTGCTTGGCCCAATTCTCTGCAATAGCTGAATATTGAAGCAGTTAGCCGCTAGCCCAGTTTGCAAGGGAAAACCCGCGGCCATGACATGGCCATTGGTCTAGGTGGCTCGCAGCAACTGCGTGATTGCTCAAAGCTTGGAGAAGGGTTGACGTGACACCTATCCATGGCACATATTTGACAAGCCTTCAATAGCCTTCAAAGCAGTAGATGTACAAAGTGGGGCCTCCGTTTATGATATATAGCCAGGTTCGTAAGTTGGTGAACATAACTCCAATATCTATGGTTTATGAATGTTTATGAATTCATGGGGTGAAACTAAACCAACGTTCACAGATCTGCTGGCGAAATCAGCCATGGCCCTGGCCGAGACAGAGAAAGACGACCGCTTGGGTGCCCTGCGAGTGTCTATGGATGAGGCCAGAGCAGCACGTGACCAGGGTTTCTGGGTAACTCTTGAGGAAAATTTTGCCAGGAAGCCATTGGGAAAACAGTCGGAAATCACTGGATGTATTCCAACCTCATGAGTACTTATGGTTGGTAATAGAATATATCCAGCATTATAGTTGGTTGGTATATACTGCCGTATTTGAGTCTGCTATCAGAAATGGGTATTTTGTGTGCTAGTTGGCTATTACTTGCCATTCATACAAGATTGGCTTGGTCGTTGATAGTTTCATCCTACCCATATTAGCTGCATCCATAGTATAGCTGACCTTTAGGCATGTCATTATTGGGTAAAATGTGCGGTCGCCTCCAATGGTGCGTAGTCACTCGCAGTCTACATTTGACTGTTGCTTATTCGTCCACCTTTGAAATGGCGGCCAAAACGTTATCCAGTGAGTGCTTATAGGTTTTATATATCCATTTCGCCTGACATATCCCACTGGTTGGCTGTTCAACTTCGTGTGCTTTTTGGTAATTCAACCCTGCTGGAAATTTCAGTCTTGATGCTTAAATCCATGCCGAATCCTCTCGCAATCCCAAGTTTTGCTCGTGATTTCCTGTTCTTTTTCGCCGGCGGATGCACCAGCTACGGTGCATCCTTGATATTTTCTCTTTTTTCACTCCCCCCCCAAAAAACACAGATATTTATACAGTGTATATATATATATATTATTAAATATGTATATATATATATATACAGATACGTTTACCAGAAGAGTGAGGCTTTTGAAATAGTTGTTCCTGCTTGGCAAGACCTTAAATCGCAATGTTTTTTTCCATCCCAGGTTGTCAGGTCATCGCTCTGATCGGCTTCCCCCTGGACGAAGGCTGCCGTCGCAACGGGGGCCGCTGTGGCGCTGAAGCGGGGCCGACCATGTTCCGGCAGCTGGTCTGGAAGACAGGCGCCAACATGGGATGGTGATGGAACCATGGAATTTTTGTTATACTGTAACCATTCCTACCCGCCCGTTATCTATAGATTTTTTTTAATAAAAATTATTTATAGTGTTAATGGAATGGCTATCTTCAGATTGAAACAAATTGAAAAACCATGGATTTTTGATAAACTTTTTTCCCAACTATACAGTTTGACAATGGTGTCTACTGATGGGGAAAATATGTTATAGAAATGTTATTTATACAACAACACGTGTTGCTCACAAGAAAAAATGTGTTTAATGATTGTTTTTACAGAAACCATGAAGAACATGTTTGTTTTCCAACAAAAGTGGTGTTTTATGATGGTTTAAAACAGTGTTTTAATGGGATGGTTACTCCGGCTAAATAAAATGCAAGATATTTTCTGTGTCTAAACATACAACAATAGAGGGTAGAGTGTTTAAATACTGATTTTGGATGTTTTGGAACCTCATGGTTTGGGGGGTGTATATATATATAGAACACATCAAAAATGGTGTTTAATGATGGTTTAAAGATGTATATAATGGTGTTTATATGATCATGTTTAATCGGGATTTAAGGTGATATACCAAAACGTGGCTGGACCAGCATTTATTTCGATGATTTTCTCAGATATAAACATCCATTTAAGTTCTAGGATCTCTAAATAGTAATTAAAAACGACATGTTTTTTCAACACAAATGGGGATTTCGCGGGATTGGAGTGGGGTGTACATAATGGACATAATATTGCCAACAATACCCACCAATAAACTGATATAGCTACGGAGCATGACCATACATGGGTCATGTTCCATTGCTATTTGAAATTACCCAATGTTGACAATTGTATAGCATGTCCGTGTGTATCACCTTCTCTTGGAGTATCCCATTGTTTTAATACTGTAGTTCCTTTCCGTACAGCCAATAAACGCCCCAACACTAAATCAGGGTTTTAACTGGAGTGTTGAATGTTGTAGCGGGAAGAATGACCCTGACTCTCAAATTAGAGTGCAAAGAAAGAACGCCTGGGTTTTGGTATACCAGTTTTATCAACAAAGCTTGTGGATGAAATATGATACAATGCAGATTTGACCGCAACAGATGGGATTTATGTATAAGCAGAAACATTACATAGGATATTAACCAGCGGATAAGGTGTTTTGTGCAATAAATACGGGACGAATTCATGCTTTGAAACGGTGTTCTGATGTATTCTGTAAATTCGAGGTTCTCCAATCTTAACCCAAAGCCACAGGGCTGTGGTCTCAACTTCTTTTGACCCAAATCCACAGGCTGCGTTCCCAATTTCGTCACCGGATGCGATTTCCACAATGTTCGCATTGTTGATTGCGGTGACATTGATATTGATGAATACGATGAAGTGGACTATGACGGTGCCCGCGACGCTCTACGGCAAAAAGTGTCGCAAGCTTTGTCGAATGGCTTTATTCCATTTGTGATTGGAGGCAGCAATGACCAGTCCTATGCCAATGCCTGCGCTCTGCTGGAGCACTTCCCAGACACTGGCCTTGGAGTCATCAATCTCGATGCCCATTTAGATGTTCGCCCGCAGAAGGCTGGGCTTGAACACAGTGGCTCGCCCTTCCGTCAGTTGCTGGAGGACCAGCGCTTTTGCAGGCCGATGCGGTAAGAAAAGGATAGATGTTGTTTTGTTTATCACTTGAGGATGGATCAAAACCATTCAAAACCTATATATTAAGGTAATCCAATACTTATATCCCCTATATATTATAATGATCACTAGCTTAATAAGTTATTTTCTCTTGGGGAGGAAATCCCCGTTACAAGCTATTTTGCTGTTCACCAGGGTGCCGAGCGTTTGACCCATAACCACTTTGAACTCTGATCCCACTGCGTTTATACCTGCATCTTCGAAAGGTTGCATTTTTCCCTGTTTTTTCAGCAAAAAATGTTGTTTCAACCCAAATGCAATGATCTTTTTTTGGCTGCGAGCATTGTTTTTTCCCACCATTGCACGTTGGTCAGAAATGTGTACACATTTATGTTTCAGAAATTGCGTTTTTACCCGACTAAACCAAACGGCGTTTTTTGCTGACCAAAAAACGCTTTTCCCCCAACCATACATTCCTTTCACATTTTGTCGAGGTTGGCAAACGGCGCTTTTTCTGCGAAAAGCTACTTTTGCACGGAAGCGGCTAAAGTTCAGATATTTCAGACAACAGTAGAAATTTTGCACACATGGAAGTTCCAGGTATCTGAAAAACCAGCGCGTCTTGCCATTTTGTTCAGTGAAGAGCTGAAACCACCACAGGATGAAAGAGAATTTGTTCACGGAATTCGCGTGTCAGTCGCATCAATGTGCTGCAAGCCACGTTCGATGGATCTTGGAGGGTCAGCCGGGCCGCGCCTGCCAGACACGGGTGGTGTGGTTGGATCACATGCTGAGTGCAGAGCCTCGGAGCATAGCAGACTGTTTCGCTGCGGAGTTGGAAATGCTGGCTGATGCGGATGCTGGAAGACAGCACGTCTTTGTCAGTTTCTGGCTGGATTTTGTGAGATTTTAGTTTGCACGATAGTGCGACTCCCCATGCTCTCCCAGGTATTAAGACCCTAATATCACTTTCATTTGGAATGATTCTGGAGCCCAATTGAGCACATTTGAGATAGTTGGCCTGCGCACGAACCAGGTTTTGATGTGGATTCAATCGCCGCAGCGTTCTGCCCTGGCGTGTCTTGTCCATCACCAATCGGATTGGATGCAGAAACAGCGCTGCAGTGCTGCTTGCGTGCTGGCATGTGCAAGAGCGTACGGCTGATGGATATGAGTGAATTCAACCCCGCAGTGGAGGATTACAATACAGGCCTGGATTAAACTGATGATAAAATGTGTTCAATTGGTTTTAGTATTTTTCCCAATGGTTCATCCACCCAGAAATGGGGAATCTACATGGGAATAGTTTATCTAAGTTGTCCCCAACAAATCCAAGCAGGCAAGTTACTGGCAACGATGTTCTACAACTTTGTCATGGGCGTCTCCATGCGACCGTGACGCCGTAACATGTTGGTGCAACCCGCCGCCGCATCTTGCGTTGCAGAAAAAAAGACTGCAACTCTGTGGAAAAAGAGCAATGGGGAAATCTTGGATGGATACTTTTTAGAAGTTGAATATACTTTGATGTGTTGCTATAAGATAAGCTGAGGTATTTACATAATATAATATATAATATTATGTATATTATATAATATTACATATATATACATACATGTGCATTCACACAGGCATGATTTTTAAAAAATAACTTGGGCATATTGAAAGTGGTAAAAGTCATGTTTCTCAAACATGTTTTGAACTCACTGCTGGTTAAACCTTCGATGTGACTTGTTTCAACAGGGTACCGGGGCAGTAATCTGCTGTAGGTGCTAAAAGGCATCATGAACATGTTCCTTTCCAAAGCAAGCTAGCCCATCATAAAATGGAGCGCTACGTTAAAAATGGCGAAAGATACGTGATGTTCTACAGTTCGTTCTGGCTAGTCATCATCGACGGTAAAACCCGCAATGTTTCTTGCTTTAGCCGTAGCCATTAGCTGTGCCCTAAGATTTTGTTGTTATTCGTCCTCGGCGTCAAAGCCATATTATTTTCTGGATGTTTTGCTATGTATTGTCCAAACGGGCTCGGACACTCAATTTTTGGTGCAACATTACTATAGAGCAGAAAAGTTAAGTTAGATGGAAATTTTGTGTTGTTATGTGTCACCCGAGATGTTGATGTTCAGTTCTGTTTCGTTAGTTACATCACCATTTGTCCCCATGTGTGTAAGGTTTGGGTACCCGTGGCGATTGAGTAAAACCAATTTTGTGCGCAGTAACACTTATGAAAAACATGGTTTGGTTTTGTTTTGAGCTTCATATCATATCATGTCATTAAGGCCTAGGGTAGCCTATGGTAGCCTTAAAGCCCGTGGTTCATCATTTTCCATATTTTTCCTACGAACTGACATTTTTTCGGCATACCACTATACTATGCCATATTATGCCCCATTGTCTGATTTGTCAGAGACATGGAAACAGATGGAACAAGCCAGTTCAACCGCTCTCGTCAGTTGGACGTCTTCATGTCTCCCACTGCTACCAGCTGCCGAGCGGCGTTGGGGCCTCTTTTTTGGTGGGTGACATGCACATGGAGCCTGGCATGGTCAGAATCATATGGAAAATGAGGATTTTTGTTAGCCATGTTAAACTGGATAAACATGTTCCCAAACTTGGGAAGTGACTGGAAACCGCTTGGAAAGTGACTGGACACCAAAGTATTTTGAGGATTCCGGGTTCTTTTCCAACAGCACTTCACCAGTGACATGTGTCAGGAATTGGAAGCACGAACCCAAACCGCCAGTTGTAGGATTCATCACGGGCGAGTCTCGTTTGACCCTGTTTGATACAGGATGAGGCCCTCACTAGTCAGGTAATTAAGTTGATTTATCATGATTTATCACTACGTTCACTTAACTGAGATGTGGGTTTGTCAAACGGTTTGTTTGATAATAGGATATGCCCACACATGCCAACACAAATAAATAAATAAATAGATAGATATATATATATATATGTTTATAGGGAAAATGATGATAATCTCCATTGATAATCCATTGGTAATCCATTGGAACTAGGGGGTACCCTTCAGACCCATTTCTGGTCGTCCCCGGTCGTCACCGCCACAGGTTGGAATGGCTCCACTGGGCGCTAAAGGAGCCAAAGCCTGGGAGCCAAGCGAGCGAAGCCTGAGGAAACTCCAGAAACTGTGGGAACTTCACCTTCGCCTCTGGTAAACTATAAGAAAAAGATGTGGAAAAGTTGAAAACCCCACCATTTCTAATTTGTAGATTATTTTCCGGATGGGAATGCATAGGTATGTTTACCCCAGGCTAATCGACAAGCATATGAACTTTGGGGATAACTGAGTACTACATAAAAATGTTGATACCGGGTTCTTCAAAAAAAACAGCCATCCACAGGAAACCACAGAGATACCCTGCTTACCCCCGCAACCCCCAACTTCAATGTTGTGATCGAAAGTGCCGAGCATCATCAACAGAAATGGCTGTTTTTTTTGAAGGCCACCAAACACAAAATTCAGAAGGCAACATTGAAGTGGGGGACGGGGGGGGCATGACCTCTGTGGTGTGGTACTTCATGGGATGGCTGTTTTTTTTGAAGAACCCGGACTCAGAAAAGACACAATAGGATGGACCCATGGCTGCAGACAAACGCGAGAATGATGACGCCACTGTGTCAGAGAAAGCATCGGGATCAGTTTGGGCGGGTGTTTGTGTGTGGGTGTGTCTGTTTGCTTGCGCGGGCGCATATGTGCTAATATGGGTTGTGCTAAGTGAAATACATGCAGTGACAGTCTTGTCTTGACACCTTTTTGACCTGATTCTGCAATGTCGTTGGGTGCACTGGCTGTCGTTCTGCGTGGCAGGCGCGCCACTTTGAGAGCGTGACTGCTCTATCCTGCACACCTGCCATGCAACGCACATGCAACACACATGCAACACACATGCAACACACATGCAACACACATGCAACACACATGCAACATGCAACATGCAACATGAGCTTTTTACCTGTAAATTTACAGTCAACGTGCAGGATTTGACGTTTGCAGCCCCAACTCCGGTCTTAGAATGGAAAGTGTAGATTTTTGCCACCGCGACCACTTTGCTTGGAAATTTACAGGGAAAATGCTCGTGTTGCATGTGTGTTGCATGTGTGTTGCATGTGTGTTGCATGTGTGTGGCATGTGCGCTGCATTGGCAGGCCCATACAAATCACACCCGTGAAGTGGAGAAGTAGAAAACTGCGTGGCAGGCGCAAGAGTTGTAGGTGGCAGGGGCGAGACTTTGGAAGCTGAGCGCCTTGGATATTACATTGTGGCGGTGGCCCGTAGCATCCACCTTTGTGGGGTTGTCGCATATTATATAGAATAAGCTTTGACAACCATCTTGGGTAAATTTCACAAGCTGATGGTTAGCCCTTAGCATCCACCTTTATTGGGCTGTCACAGATTACAGAAGCGCATGCTTTGACAATGCGTAAATTTCAGAAGCTGATGTTGTCGCATCGATGTGTGTATGTGTGCTGATCTACATCCACATGCATATCAACAACAGTTAAAATGAACTCGGAACCCAAAAAAACCTCACCGGGTTCTTCAAAAAAAACAGCCATCCACAGGAAACCACAGAGATACCCTGCTTACCCCCGCAACCCCCAACTTCAATGTTGTGATCGAAAGTGCCGAGCATCATCAACAGAAATGGCTGTTTTTTTTGAAGGCCACCAAACACAAAATTCAGAAGGCAACATTGAAGTGGGGGACGGGGGGGGCATGACCTCTGTGGTGTGGTACTTCATGGGATGGCTGTTTTTTTTGAAGAACCCGGACTCAGAAAAGACACAATAGGATGGACCCATGGCTGCAGACAAACGCGAGAATGATGACGCCACTGTGTCAGAGAAAGCATCGGGATCAGTTTGGGCGGGTGTTTGTGTGTGGGTGTGTCTGTTTGCTTGCGCGGGCGCATATGTGCTAATATGGGTTGTGCTAAGTGAAATACATGCAGTGACAGTCTTGTCTTGACACCTTTTTGACCTGATTCTGCAATGTCGTTGGGTGCACTGGCTGTCGTTCTGCGTGGCAGGCGCGCCACTTTGAGAGCGTGACTGCTCTATCCTGCACACCTGCCATGCAACGCACATGCAACACACATGCAACACACATGCAACACACATGCAACATGCAACATGAGCTTTTTACCTGTAAATTTACAGTCAACGTGCAGGATTTGACGTTTGCAGCCCCAACTCCGGTCTTAGAATGGAAAGTGTAGATTTTTGCCACCGCGACCACTTTGCTTGGAAATTTACAGGGAAAATGCTCGTGTTGCATGTGTGTTGCATGTGTGTTGCATGTGTGTTGCATGTGTGTTGCTGCATTGGCAGGCCCATACAAATCACACCCGTGAAGTGGAGAAGTAGAAAACTGCGTGGCAGGCGCAAGAGTTGTAGGTGGCAGGGGCGAGACTTTGGAAGCTGAGCGCCTTGGATATTACATTGTGGCGGTGGCCCGTAGCATCCACCTTTGTGGGGTTGTCGCATATTATATAGAATAAGCTTTGACAACCATCTTGGGTAAATTTCACAAGCTGATGGTTAGCCCTTAGCATCCACCTTTATTGGGCTGTCACAGATTACAGAAGCGCATGCTTTGACAATGCGTAAATTTCAGAAGCTGATGTTGTCGCATCGATGTGTGTATGTGTGCTGATCTACATCCACATGCATATCAACAACAGTTAAAATGAACTCGGAACCCAAAAAAACCTCACCGGGTTCTTCAAAAAAAACAGCCATCCACAGGAAACCACAGAGATACCCTGCTTACCCCCGCAACCCCCAACTTCAATGTTGTGATCGAAAGTGCCGAGCATCATCAACAGAAATGGCTGTTTTTTTTGAAGGCCACCAAACACAAAATTCAGAAGGCAACATTGAAGTGGGGGACGGGGGGGGCATGACCTCTGTGGTGTGGTACTTCATGGGATGGCTGTTTTTTTTGAAGAACCCGGTATTGTACTGGAACCTAACGAGCTAAGAACTAGATATATTGTTTGCAGATGCTTGCAGGGTACCTAACGTTCGCCTTTTGGTAAATCCCAGGATGTTTGTCCCCTTGTTTCCCACTGGTTTTTCCTTAAACCAAGCCAGTGAAAAGGTCAAAAGCACGCCCATGCAATCTCATGCTAGTGACATCCAAAACAATTCAGAAGTTTCCATATGTTCGTACCCAATTGTTTGACATTACATAGTTTATCCATGTGATATTCTTCCTCGATAAACCAAGAAATGCACGCATAACTTACATTTATGCTGATTTATACATAATTATATATATATATATGTGTGTGTTTGCATGCATCTATATTTACATGCATGCATGCATGCATGCATGCAGCACACACACATACATATATGAGTACATGTTCGATG